ATCACCTGGGTTGATGTCACTTACCGCGAGGGTTGACATTTGGCTTGCAAGCTTGTTTGGGGCCACCCTCCTTGACTAATGAACGGGGAAAGGATTGTAAAAAATAAGCGTCTCCAAGTAGAATATCTGTGAGCGTGTAAGAGAGTTGGGGGGGGAAGAGATGGAAGAATTGCTCCAGCGGCTCCAATCCTTCTATACCTACTCGAGACGCATGCAAACCATGGCGCAGCCCTTGCAGCCTTCACGGATATTTGGACAGGTGACGGTTGGATATGCATTTCGGCGTCTCAAATAACTACACGTCCTCATGCGCCTCGCTGACTGTCCACCCCAGCCGATCGAGGGGCAGCGACTTACGAAGTACAATGGAGAGTGTGACATTGTCTGGCGCGGAATGCTTAGTGGTTCAGGATTCCTCGCGAATTCCGCAAAAAGAGGTCATAGACAGGCGACCTCCAACTTTAATGTCAATGATCTATTTTGTAGTGTTCTCTACTGCGACGGCGTACGGCAATGTAGCTACGGCGCAAGGTAGCAGTAGCCAGTGTTAGAAGACGAGTTTATATTATTACATGCTCGTTCTCGCCGTGGCATCTTCGTCTATATCTCTCAAGCTTTCACTCGCATATCTCTTCAGTTTTACAAGGTTCATTTCCTTCGCTATATTCTCAACAGCTTGAAAAAGCTGTCGCTACTTAGGTTAGTTCCCAATCAAGGTTGCTTCTGGGAGAACTTACAAATGCGTTCTCCGTCCCCTCGCGATCAAAACAGCCGCCCTCGTAGAGGACATACCGACGAGAAATCTCCATGTTCTCGGCCACAGGGTATGGAGGGTCTCTCCGAGTGTGTCTGAGGATCCAAGCTGTCCTTGAATTGTGCAATCGCCTGGAGATCTCGAGGTGATAGTGTTGATGAGCACGCTTGCGCAAATACGCGTGCTCTCTGAATTCTCTTCAATCTCTTTGAAAAGTTGCCGCATGATACCAAAGATAATTGTTTGGAAGGCGACGGTAGGGACCTCAGTATGTGTGCCGGTAAACGACTGGATGTCTGACGGAGGCCCTTGGATTGAGATTTCATGGCCTCTTCGATCTGTGCCGTCTTGGGCTTGCGCTCAGTCCCATTGTTCGACTCGCCCGCAGCGTTACCCGAGTCTCCTGTATCATTCACATCAGCCAAAGGTTCGCTGGCGCCATGAAATATCACGAAGCCGTTCTTACTATCGTCCTGGCGCTCGGGCTTTGGAGCAGCTGTCGTGGCTTCGGCGTATAGGTTGGGTTGTTGTTGGGCCGAGAGCCTTTCGCACTTGCGTAGGAGTCGAAAAGATGACGCTGAGGTTGTGACATTGTCTCGATTAGATTCGCTACCACAAGCTCTCGCATGTGCCTATAGGTAGCGTGTAAGACGTAAGTACCGCAAGATACTCACGACCTAGAAGTCGAGTGTTGAGTCAAGGTATGAATGGAAGACGGAGTTGGTAGCAGAGCTGGGAAACACGACGTGAAAGCCGGACAGGTAATCATACAAACCAGCAGTCTATGGTGGCGTCTAACAAGCTGAGTGTATAAACATCGCGATGTCTCGTTTTCCCACCCTAAGGGTGTCCCTGACGGCTCTCTAGAGCCGCTCCTTTGGACTTCCGGCTAATTTTCATATATTGCGAAGTATTGCTACCTCGTTAGATAGAAATGTAGGTCTCGCGAAGGTCGCCGTCTTCTTCCCGAAGTTGATGCCGACGTGGGCAGCCCTCCCTCCCCTTGTCGCGAGGCTCTGATGCATTTTGCATATGGATGAGATGAAGTGGGATTCTTATCTCTCCAACTAAGCTATGACTGCCTCATCCTTATGTAGGAGGCAGCCAGGTCGGACTATCTAGGTGATCCGGCCGGTTTACAAGGCAGCCACATACGGATGCCTGTCTCACACGGCTGCCTGTCCACACGGCTGCCTGTTCACACGGCTGCCTGTTCACATGGCTGCCTGTTCACATGGCTGTGCGTGCGGCAGCCGGTGTCCTGATGCTTGGTGCCGTGCCCAACGCCCCAGTGTGCGTAGGGACACGCAAAAACGCATCAGGCTCCCTCCGCTGCAAGCTTCGCCACCCCCGACACTTCCCAGGCATGCACATGTACATTGTCATACATTGGGTCAACGACGAGGGAAGAGAAATTAACGGACAAGTCCTGCCTCCCGTTCCCTCCCTGAGCCCCGGCGCAGGGGAGGCTGCGGAATAGTCTGCACGATTCGGTTCGCCCCCCTGCGCCTACAGAGAAGTTGGCTCCTCGTAATTTTGCAGCATTAGCGGATGTGATCGGCGCATAGATGCAGAAGCTGAACCTGGTCAAAGACGCATAAACCATCTCAGGGGTGGCCGGCAGGCGTCAGCGAAGCAACAACGGACCACAGCCCGGAAGTGGAGGAAGGCGCATGATCCCACCCGACGATATGTGCGGTGAGATGGCCAAAGCTGCGCCTTGGGGATTCTCTGGATGATTCGCTGGAGCTCTCATCCCGACCAAGGCAGCCCGTCTCATACTCGTGTAGAAAGTGAAGGAGGTAGGCACCACCCCCCTTTGTCCCGGTTTCCATACCTCCCATTTTCTTGCACCTCTCTGAAAGCCAACAAGGCCCTCCTTCCCGCCATGTCGACTGACTCTACCTCGACAATGCAGGGGAATATAAGTTCCACTGAATCGATTGCCTGTGGACAAACTGGTCATCTTCGTGCTCTCGATATGCTTCTTTGTCCTGCCTTGCCCACATCAGAATTCTCGGATACCGAAAGTCAGTTCAACGGCACAAGCTGTCGAGACAAATATCTGCAAGACGAGATTGCAGTGTCACCTACACCAAAGACACAGCCTTTGTTTGCACCTAGCGATCTCGAAGAGAGTGATTACTCTTCCTCTTACGGCGATGACAAGGAGAATCGTCCTCCTACTGGGCTTGTTTTTCGAGTCACTGTATCCGATACTTGCCATCGAGTAGAGGCCAGCGGTACCGTCGAGAACGGACAAGACAAACAGGTTGAGATGGAACTTGACCTCCCTCTCTGCAAGCCTGTTAGAATTACTATCAGCCTTTCTCAGTCTTCTCCTTCGGGCTCGTCACGACACACCAGGCAATACGAGCGAAGCGACCATGACGAGATAATCGGAAGTGTGGATACAGAATGTCGATCGCCTGGGCGAAGATGGCAAAGTCATGGAAAAAAGCACAAGCGACAGCGGATTCACAAATTTCGGAGGAGCAAGCGACTGGTCGTAGAGGAGTGTTGAATTCTCCTATCTTCACCAGCCCTTAGAATGGTAGTAGTCTCTAGATACATCCTCCAGGAAACGTTGGTTCCACAAGCTGGCATTTGCATCCTCGCTCGCCTTCATGCGAGACTTGTCGGGGAGTTGCCCTCGGGCCACCGAATCATGCGATGCGTGTCGATGATCCAAGACGGCGTCGGTTGTGAGTCCCCCCTGTTGCCTTTCCAACACGAGTCCAATTCTAAGTGAGTTGGTCAACTCGGCCGTGAGCATACTGCGGCGAGTCGTTCGTGGCGATAGAACTGCCCGGGTTTTCCGCGGTCGCATATGACTTGAGCATGTAGAAAATTGAATCGAGGCTCCTCGCTAAATCCCCTGTCTGAGATTGACTGTTGCTTTCTTGCACTCTCCACCATAAGCGTGATGAGTGATTGTCGCTGCCTTCCCTAGGTTGGGGTGTCGTACGCTGGAACAACCGCCACTTCATGCTCGGCTCGCCGCTTTCACTGCCATCAGAACTGTAGTCGTTCGCGGCGAGCTCGTGGCCCCCCAGAGTTTGGAATCCGATTGATACTTCATTTGCGGAGGTAAATTGAGCATGTCTGGACGTCTGGACACTGTCTACAGCGTAGATATTAGGAGAGACGAGCCGGTTGTCCTTAGCGAACCCTTCTGCGAGTCCGAGGAAGCCTTTCTTTGGGACATGTCTTTCAGACGACTGGTGGAAATTTCCGTGAACTAACGTATGTAGGTGTTCGGTCGAGGAGAGTGTAACTGAACCGAAGATCCTACGCACGAGATAATTTACGCGAAAGCATGGCCTCCTTTAATGCTTTGAAGGCACCTTTGCGTCGCGCTTCCAACTTTAAAGGATTATTGTGAGCATTTGCACGACCTCAATGCGGCATCTGCGTGTGGCCCAAACTTGGGACGCTTAAATTGAAGATAGTAGCCGTAGGCAGAGGGCGGACAGTGATAATCATGTAATTACCGTCTGTCTGATTCAGTGCCCTCAGGATAATACCAGGTGCTCCGTCGACCGTTCAGTACCGGGGTCTGTCACCACAGATAGTTGCATCTCTCTGTCTACCCGTTTCCTCTGGTGCTCTCTCATCATACTGTCCAGAGCAGGGACGGACATCTTACGAATCTATCGAATCGAACGCCAAGACTTGGCGTTCGAATCGAATAGGGCCTCTGCAGATTCGCATCGAATCGAACATGGCTCCAGCAGATTCGCATCGAATCGAATGCGTGAAAATTGTTGCCCCTTCGATTCGACCTCGAATCGAATGTGTCCCCAGATTCGCATCGAATCGAACGCGTGAAATTTCTTGCCCGTTTGATTCGACTCGAATCGAACGCGTGTCCCGTAGATTCGATACCTATCGAATGCCAAGGTTCGATCGAATTCGATACGAATTCGATCGAACGTAGGACTTCAGCAGAGATTGGGGTACCAAACGTGCGTTTCACCGACATCATACATGTCTTTGTCACCATCACGAGGACTCCTACATCCCTCGATTTAAGAAGTGCCAAGGGGTGTAAAGACATCATGGCTGCAGCAGATGAGACGTCGAAAGCACGGTCAATTGCTGTCTTGTCAAGCTGATTAAATGTCACTCCGCCCCTTCAGCGACGCAAGAGCATCAATCCATTGATCCTCGTTGAGGCTAAACAGCGGCAGTGAAGGCCTGTAGATCCCAGCTTTACTCCACGATCGAATGCATTGAGCCATCGCTACGATCTCCTCCGCAGCCGGCTTCTCAATGGTGCCGTCATACGTCCTGCGCTGCTAAACGTCCTCTCGCTTTCCGCGGACGTCGATGGAATCGTAAGCATGTCTACTGCCATCAGAGACAGTCGCGGATATCGGCTCCGGTTGATCTTCCACCAGTCAATCGGTCTGCTTCTGTAGTGGCGGCTGTTGACGACGTCCTCGGCACAATATCGAGCATATTTGTCATCACCAGTCGCTCCCGCCGTAGACGGTTTCGTCTTTCGGTTGCTTTTGCGGGCACCTGATGCTCCGAACGAGCCCTGGTTGAATGGCGGCGCAGCTACAGTCCTAGCAAGTCTCCGCTCAATGTAATCCATGGAGGCCTCATCAGACGTAGCGAGGATCTCGTTGTCAACGTCGCGCTCCCTATACTTCTCCCAGATCTCCAAGAGCTTTGCTTCGTATTCCAACCGCCAACTCTTCGTCTTCCGAGAGGGTACTCGAGACCACAGTTGATCGAGAAGGCGCCACTTTTTCGCAGGATTGAAGACAACAGCCCCGACATATGCAGCGCTAGTCAGACGGCTGTAATATTTATGCAGCTTCTTCCATCCGAGCTTGATATAGACCTTGAGCAACCTGCGGGTCCTGCTATCGAGCCCGTCATAAATGGCTACTTCGACGTCCTTCTTCTCCCTAGTCACTGGATCCTCAACCTCTTCGAAGATTGTGCCTTCGATAGCACTTTCGAGGTGGTCAAGCAAAATCTCAAAGACGGGGAAGTATTCATCGAAACTGCCACATGTGGACCTACCGCCGGGAACACCACTGCCCTGAAGTTGCTTGGTGGAAATCTCGAACGGCTTCAGAAGCTTGACAAGTACCTCGATAACTTTCCAGTCGTACGCACTTAAGCGGTACTGCAGAACTGCCTGCTTCGTTCTGTCACAGAGGCCTCCGTTTCCCACCGGTTCTGAACGTCATTGAGGAAGGTATTGAGCGCCGGGCGGAGTCGAAGAGCCCGTTCCATCATACGCATGTCCAAGGTTCTACCGGGTGGCATTGTTGAAGGCCCAGTGAAGTGTTGTTCCGTGGCCGGATTCCTTACGTTGAGACTGAAGAAAATGTTCGTACAGCTGTGTGTTTCGCAGCTGAAGACCGATGTTATGAAGCATTCCGGGGCGCCGTTCTGACTGTACTCCTGAAGCTGGCAGCATTGATCTCGTCCGGAGCCGGGTGAGACGATGTGAGGTCCTCTTCTGGGATGTCAACGGCAGTGTTTGCTCCTGGGTCTTCGTCCGTACCGTCCTTCATCTCTCCATTTAGGGCCTCGTCGATAGCTTGATCAACTTGCTCCTCGTCGTCATCTAGATCGTCCCCATCGGCAGCAACAATTGCAGCAAAATTCTCTTGCTTCGAACCGTACAGCATTGCCCGCACACAGAGGTTGAGGATATGTGCAGCGCAGCGGATCCGTCGCTCTTCGGGTGAGAAGCCGTGCTCAAAGGCAAGGTCTTCCATGCAGGTGTCATTGTTGGCAGCATTGTCCAGCGTGAAGTAGCCGACCGTGTCTGGGTTGTTGACTTGCCAGAATGCCAGTGTATCGGCGACCTCATCGGCAAGCGACGCACCGTTGTGTTTGCCGAGAGAGGTCGCAGCCCAAGGAGGATGCGGTGTTGGGCAAAGTCGTGATCAATGAATTGAGCATTGATGCCCAGAAATGCGGTGTAGGACTTGGATGACCAGCCGTCGAAGGAGAAGTGAACCTGTGATCGAGCGGTGCGAAGTACTTCCGTTACGGGCCCGACGGCACCTCTGTATTCAGATTCGAGCATGCGAAGTAGCGTCTTCCCAGAGGGTATATGGGTCGCATCAAGGAGCAGATTGCCGTAGAGAAGGAGCCGTTGGAACCTCTCGGTGTTGACGATATCGAATGGCAGATTATGGTACGTGATCCAGTCGAGTAGGAGCACCCGGAGCCTTGCTGTTGAATCTTCCACGCAGCTTGCTGACAAGGAACTGGTCGTGCGGATTATTGAAGTCGGCACCAATGAAGTGGGTGATGGGCCGGCCATCTAGAGATGAGGCTCGCACGCCTCCGGCAACGTCGTGTGGGGCCTGCCAAGTGAACACTCATGTTGCTGGTATATCTCCGAACGGCACACACTTACCAGAATTCCGTGGGCGTTACGAAGGTGCTTCTTGGTAGCGGCTCCTGTTGAGCAGACGAAGCAGAAGTCTGACTTCTTCTTGAAGCCTCGGGCGAAGCAATCCGCGCAGATCCACTTCAGCCTGTTGCCCTGGCGCGAGGTGGACCGGTCCTCAACACGATACCCGTATTGCTGCCACCACGCCCTCGTATCCTGGCCGCCAGTATAGCGCTCGAATCCAGGCCATTTCGCCCACTCTTGGCGGCCCCAGAGCGTCCAATCTACTTGTATAAAGTCGACAGCAGTACCGCGAGGACGAGGTGATGGAGTCGTCGGCAACGAGGTTCCTTGGGATGATGCGGGTGGTAAAGACGAGTACTCCACACGCCCAATCAGATCTGACCGGTTCGACGGGGAAGGGCTTGACAGTGGTTCGGATGACATCGTAACGTTGGTTCGATCGTGCGAATTGAGCGAGCGGGCCGACAAATGAAGGTAGAAGCCATCGAGGCTTCGCCGGCGCTCAACTCATGCCACATCGTGGCAGCGAAGCTCGGCGAAGCAGGCATAACGCGTCCCACGCGCGTGTAGACGCGGGAAGGGGAAAAAAGAAAGGAAAAGAAGAAAAACCGTCGGGGCGCAATCTCCGTTGCATTGGCTAAAGTGGTCTGGACGAGTGAAAAGAGCTTCCGTCACCAATGCACAACGACGATGGACCGTGGGGTGCTGCGAAGATCCCTGGCCTCCGGCATTGATGCTTGCTTGACTGGCTTCCGAAGCGTCAGGCACGGCATCTCCGCCCGTGCTTGCAGCCAGTTAAATCGAAGGCGCCATAAGACCCCGGCTACCTTGTCTGATAGATCCCTGTTCATCAGCGTTTCCAGTGCCCCATTGGCTTGCGTCCTAGTGCACAGATCATCGTGGCGTGTGACGAGTCGTTTCCTTTGGCTCTGGTCCCCTTCTCGTGCCATTCTCGTCTCGTATCTGAATCGGCCTTGAGCTCGTTTGAGGTAGTCAGAGCTTTGAGTGCAGCTGGGGGAGTGTTCTGAAGTCGCTTGTACATCGGCCTAGAGGCTGGTTGGGTTTGGGCAGAAGTTACTGTGACAAAAGGCGATGAATATTTTGAGAACATTTGGGAGGGCCTGTAGGAGACGGTCAAAGTTGTAGCACAAATGAGATTCCAACGTCGAAATGTTATTATAGCTGTGGTAATTGAGGTGCTGATATACAAGTTCTGCGGGAGAGATACTCTAAATGTGTCGGTTTCTTGTTTGCAGCCGTCGAAATACAGAGAGGATGGGCACGTATAGTAAACTCAACGTCGGAACCGGGTGCCCGGGTAAACCTACCCTATACCCTGGTCAGACAATCGAAATCTTATCTTATCCACAACTCTCCCCTGTAAAAATTCTGTCCCCTGGAGGGCTGTTAGCGGCTTGCTAGCTGGGGCCAGATTTGCAGGCGACCCGACCGCGCTTCAGCTGCGGGGTCCATCGTGACCCTAACAACACAGAGGAAGACCTTAGAGAGTTCATATTCCTCTGCGAAGCCGGTCTCGACAACACGTCCACTCGGACCTCATGGCTCTCTTCGGAACCAAGGAGCTGTGGGTATTGGAAGGTCCGCCCTTCTAAACAACGGTGGCCGGTCGCGGAGGTTTTTCTCCTGAAGGCAAGCTGCGCGACAGCCTCTGATTCCTTCTGAGGTTTTTCCTGCCGCCGCTCCTCGCTATTTCCATCGCTTGGTTACTGGAGCATGGACTGCGACAGCAGCCTTAGCAAAGGGCGAGAGAATTCTGACCGGAAAACCAAGGGTTGACCATTGTGGCGATTGCCACGCGCCTGGAAGTCCCGCTGACGGGAGACAGGCTTCGACAAGGAGCGCCAAAGAGCCTATGAAATGCTGGATGGACATCTGGGAGGACTGGCCGCGGGGGCCCTGGTGGGTGGCCTTTCGGTGGCAGGAATTCTAGATAGTCTAGCTCAGCACGTCCTGTGCCCCGTCTCGGGGACCTGAGCGGCCTAAAGGCCGCTGGACGAAAAATACAACACACACACACATCTTATCTTATCTCTGGCGCCTATGGCATCAATCCCACCTGATGACCGAGATTTCGTTCCAACATACCGCACGTATGCAACGTCGCCATAGAGCTTATGATAGCCGTACACTGTAGAGCTTCGTCGTGATCTTATAGAGCAGCCATCAATGGGTTTCCGCAGAGCATGTTTGCTGGAGTTTCAAGATACTAATTATGTCACGTATTTATGGGGGGTTTGGCTGTACATACCAACATGTCTTAACGCCTTGACCTGGTTTGGGTCGATAGACGCTAAATCACGCTTGGTTGCGTCAGCCACCAACAGGGGCTGACTGACGCGTCTGAGAAGACGCGCAAAGGTTCCCGCGGTGATTTCCGCGAACCGCGTCACTCATTCGATCGAATCGATCGAATCCGGTCGAACGCCTGGGAGCCGTTCGATTCGATGGCGACCAAAATGTGACCCTGTTCGATTCGTCTGTCGAATGAAAAACGCCACGTTCGATTCGATGCTGTCGAATGTCGAATGAGGTACACCGCGTTCGATTCGATGCGAATCGAATGGGACCATGACAGATTCGACATCGAATCGAACGCCAAGAAATTCGATTCGATATTCGTAAGACTTGGCATCGAATGAATCTATCGATTCGATTCCCGTTCGTAAGATGTCCATCCCTGTCCACGGGCCGGATCCTTAGTGCTTGGGAGCAAGAGGAGCAGAGAGCTAAATCCGATCTCGAGTCACGGCCACCAGGGACACAAAGGAAGAGGAAGGGCACGGGCGCTACTGTCGTAAACAAGAGGTCGAATACGCTTGCTTCCGTGAGCAGCCGGGTTGACGATCTTGCTCAGCAGATCGGTGATTTCATCAAGTCGCAAGCAGCAGCAACGCCAGTACCGTTATCACAGGTACCCTCACTTCCACAGGCGCCGCCGGCATCACAGGGATACTCTGTGATGCCACCGCCATCACTTGTGCCTGTATACGTACAGGCACCGGCGCCGTCACGGTGGCAAGAACCGCCTCCTCGACACAGGCACATCACGACGGCTTCATGTGGGCACAGCCGCCGGCACAGTCTCACGGGACGGTAAGGAGCATTTCCAGCAGCCAGGGATCAGACGGACACGGCACCATGCAATTCCAGCGAGCGGGCCGTCCCCAAATTCGTTCCCTATGTGCCTCGCCCTCCGCCGCGTCGGACGGATCCTTCCTCACAGTCACAGTCACAGTCACAGAGGTAGGCAAGGCGGCAAAAATGCACCTTCCACTGCTGTGTGCATATTGCATACACATCGGAATCGGTCGGGCCGGGCTTAGTGATAGCTTCAATTGAACGACTCCAAGGGACGCATCTTCTGGCGTTGGTGATCTTTGCAATATTGAATGCATCCTCCGTACCGGTACATAGTCGAGTAATAGGGCGGGCGCGACGAGGCGGCCACGGCGTTGGGAACGCGCGCGCCAAATTGTGGTGCGCGCCTACTCTTCCAAATGGGGTTAAGTCTCCGTGCATGTTTCGAAATCGTCCGTGCATGTTTCGTTACTCCTGCTGCTACTGCTGCGATTGCTGCGATAAAAGAAGATTTGCCAGTGTGGGAATGTAGCATATAGCTATAGTAGGATTGTAAGGGAGGTGCGCACACACGTACACGTGACCCTTAGCGTCACGTGTATGGACCTCGGGGATCCGTGTATAAAGGGCACGTAGTGTGCCCCCTCATTCCCTTTCCTCCCTTCCTAGCTAGACATCTTGAATACAACCCATTGCGTTACTGCAGTACAGACCTCCCGACAGTATGCATCAATTTTTAACTTTTTTTGCCGTTTTATTATTAAATTAAGTTGGCGTTGAAGCCGTAAAGTGACACAGCCAGGTGGTTGACACAGACAGGTGGTGAGGACCCACTTTACGTGGGTCTGTGGGACGAGTAGAAGGAAGTTCCAGGTCAGGGCCTACTTGGGGGGACTAAAATCCGTCCCGATTCCCGCGCATGTCAAGTCATGCATGGGGGGAAATTAGGTACATAATCCTACTAGTTAATTGGCGGGGCCGCTATGTACTCTTTTTGGCGAATCAACGGACTTTTTGCTACTCAACGCACCCCCCGTGCATGACTTGACATGCGCGGGAATCGGGACGGATTTTAGTCCCCCCAAGTAGAGAGTGTCCTGGCGATGGAGGGGGTGTGAGACATCCGCAAGTCGTCATTGGATCCACGTGTCGTGTTCCATGGCCACATGCATGGACCAGGTACACACATCAGCTGACAAATAGTACCATTTTTTTTTTTGAGATGTGGGCCTACAAGTCCCCACTGTTGCTTGGGTGCGACGGTGGCGGCGGGGGGATTGGACAAAAAGATGGGGGGTAGTTAAATCCGAGTGACTAAAGAAATAGTGGGCCGTTTCCCGCGCTTCAACTGAATCATGCACGGCAACTTCACATTTTTGGAAGAAGCCCCCCGACTAAAATTGGCGCGCGCGAACGTTCCCGAGTCCCAACGATGGGGGTGGGAGCGCCGCGCCTGCCGCCGCCGCCGCTTGTGTGTACTAGGGGGGATTCATTTGTCTTTTTCATGGAACGCCATGCACCTTTGTCTGTCTGTAATTGGAACTCGCAAGCTCCCACCTCCTACAGTAATCGGGCGGGCGGACGCGGCGGCCGCGTTGGGGAACGCGCGCGCCAAATTGTGGTGGCGGGTCCTCCTTCCTAATGGGGTTTAAGTCTCTGTGCATGAGCAATGATTCGGCCACCTAACCGCACGGCCTCTCGGCGATTGTCGCACGGCCTTGTGACCGGATTAGGCAAGTCAAATCCTGTCTGTGGCCCTCCAATTTGCCTGTAATTTGCCTACGAAAAGAAGTATCGTGCGACAAGCCGACCGGCGCGTCAATTGATACAAGTGTAGACATTTGCACTATCTTGACCTTAAACGGGCAGCCGGCTTTCCTCGTGCCTGCCTCGCGGAGCCTTGCTGCAATAGACACATGATGGGTAGGTCCACGGGCGCAAGCGAGGTCCCAACGGTGAGGAATACCCATACGCTTATTGGAGGATCTGACTTTGACTATAGCGTAGCCTTCGTCTCTCGCGAGGGCCTGAATAGCTTCAATCGCGGTCTCCGAGCTCTCAAACGGCCCTAAGTCGAAGGGTGCAGCCATCTCGGTAGACAGTATCGTTGAGTCCATTGCAAAGGCTTCAAATTAGGCGTTAAATACGGCTTTGGGGATATCGGCACGGATGGCGTTGACGGCGTTGACAGACGGCGTTGACGGACAGCGTTTTCGCGCGCGCGTTACTACATCACGAGTCTTACGCGTTTAATGGTGCGGCAAACGTCGGTACAATAGGTACATCGATTTGCTAATAAAATTGCCTAGACCCGAAGTCTCTCG